ATCGATTCAACGCTGTATCGGTCCAATTTTTTAAAATATTCATAACCTCGTCCACAGATTACTTTAAATAACATTACCATTAACTTGTTTCCATCAAGTGAGCATAAGCACAACTTGCAGCGTGGTCGAACGAAAAAGCGAAAAGAAAAGTCGAAGTAAAAACGAAAAACTATTTTCCCTTAAACAAAATTCTAAAAAACTATTCGAGCACCAATTAAAGTACCAAAGGAAACGAGCATTTGAAACGCAGCAGAGCTATTCCACGCTTGCAAAATCAAAAGCGTACTCGGACGTATGCTACGGATGTAACGAGCCACTTTTCGACTTTATCCCGTCGAAGACACACGGTTTTTCTTGCGGATAACAACGGCCTTGTTCCCTGTATGTTACTTAGGATGGCAGCAGCTTTGATCAGCATGGTAATGCATCGGTCGCATGAAAAAGCTCTGAAATTGCGACTCGTTGCGCCCTGGATGAGAAGGATGCGGACGAGAAGAAGGAGGAGATTTAGGGTGAACAGTTGAGCCTTGAAAGGCCTAATCGTCCCGGCAGCCTCTTTGTACGCAAAGTTAATAACGTGTATTTATGTATTTGCCACGTTTAATTGCCTGTGCGGCTATTACATTCGCTCTGAAATGCTCGCTCCCGCCTTGAATACACCGGGGAGGGTAGTATTAAGTACTTGCTCGAGTGCTCCGTGAGTCTGGCAATGACACGAGACCTTCGTGCGCTGTACAGGCCGTACGCTGTTCCACTATTGCTGTTAGCTTTCTTAAACGATACTTCCAAACATATCTGTTTTACCATTTTTCATTTAATGAAGAATATTCTGGACAAGAAAGAATAACTTATTAGACTACCTCAAGGTTAGGCTATTTTAACAGGTTTAAAAAAATCGACTTCTGTTATGTTTTCATAAATTGTTACTTCGTCGTTTTAAAAATAAGATAGAGTGTAGTCGAAGTCGAAATTCTAACTGGAAATTGTACCAATTCGTTGAAAACGAAAACGTAGCTTCGCACATTCGTGCAGGAAGCGTCAGCTATTTACTGTTTTAATACTTACGTTTGGTAATTTTCAGTTTTATAAATTAAAAGCGAAAGTTAGAATTAAGATTACTTAATATAACTATTTGTGCCGTATCTTAGCCAGAATCTGTGCCACGAGTTTGACTCGTTATTATAAAGCCAGGGGTTAAATGCGTTTTTCTTGTAACCACGTCTTCCAAAACGATATGCACTGTAGCTTGAGTGAAACTCAACTGATTTTTATTAAATTTTACACGCATATTCTTAAATACAATCTGTATCGTTCGCCGTAGAATTTTTTCAATATTTTCATTTCTACTTGCACTACATATAAATAAATAAATGGTTATATTTCCGCGTAAAAACGAATGTTTTTCTTATTTTCCAATTGAACAAAAAATTCTATGTTAACCGATAGATAATTTAGTTTTAATTACTCCATCAGAAAAATTTAGTTTCAGGAACCTGTCCATCATAAATAAGGTACTTACATACGTACTCACTTACTTATATACACTATTATATACATTTTGTTTAAAGGAAAAGAAATTTCTCTATATTGTCTACATATGCTTCTATCATTAACGAGAAACTTTTTTCGAAAAAGAGATTTTGTTACTTCAAAATAATTTCTCAAAGTAGCGGTACTATTTGGACAGGCCAAAAGTAGTCTAACCCCAAACGTTGCAGGCCAAAAATTTTTTAGTCCTAGAATTTGTGGCACATACGTTGGAATAAAAATTACTCGACAGCTGACATTGTTATTATTTCTTATTGTATTACAGTGTGTAATTTACTGTCTTCGCGTTTGTATTTTCTTATTAAAATAACAAAAAATTGATTTTACACGTTATTATTTCATTAAAAAGGTAAAGAAAAATCATAAAATGACTGACAACAATGTGTAAGTTTATAACAAAAAGATTCATCTTATCGGGTGAATTAATCTCAAACCCATACAAAATTGGTAGCAGATTCACTATTAGCGTATTTATACAGGGTGTTCACGGATTTGCTAGCCACCGTTTTTCTCGTAAACGATAAGAATGAGAAAAACATGGAAGAGGAAAGAGTAGTATACTGTTTTTTGTAAGCTACATAATGGCGTATTTGTTTTTGTGTTTGCACTATTTTTTTTAGAAATGAAGGCGATCTTCAATTTTTTAATTGGAATGCTACATATTTTTCTATTTTGTACGAAGGATCATACAGGAGCAGGAACGAAAGAAATATTCCATATCGTTGTATTTTTATTGTTGCATTAAAAAAAAAAAAAAACAGAAGCGTGTGCATCAATATCTGAAACAAAATTAGCAGAAACCACGGAAAATGTAATGCATAGAGCTGAAAAATGTATTCTAGCTAGTGAAGCCACAGTGAACATGAAATGTAAATCTATCAATAAGAAATACAGTAAATATAATGATGCGAAATATTCGAAATATTTCTCTCGTAATCGTCTTGATACACGCTTTCATCAAAAATATGAAGGTGTTACGAATCGCAATGTGCTTGTTGCGAAACCGATAATTGTCCCTCTTTTTGAGTCAGACCATTTAGGGGACTCAGGTAGTGCTCGGAAGATAGACTATTAACGCACAACAGTTTGCTGTTAAAACTATGTATTTGTGAATGAACGTGAACAGAGCGCGAAATGCCTAAGCTTACTGATCGGAAAATTGTGTGTCGTGTCGTGTGGTGTTCGCTATTTTATAAACTACGTGTGTGTTGTGATTGGTAGTGTGAAGCTGTCGTTGGTGGTGGAAGTGTGCGGTGATTGGTTTTTTCGGTGTGTTTGGGGTGTGTCTGGTGGTGGTGTGAAAGTGGGGAATTTGTTCTTACATTTGTTATATTGCTTGTCGAAGGTCTGTTTATTATCTTAGGTCATGTGGTGTAAGAGGCGTCGAGTTTTTGTCGTAAAGTAATTTTCGTGCCGGCTAAGACCTCACTTTTTGGACGTGCTAGTCTATCAGGAATACCGATGTATTGTTCGGCTCGTCGGTAAGGCCGGACAACCCAAGCGACATCTGTTACGCATGTGATAAAGGTTACCTTCGTTTCTAAAAAAAATAGTGCAAATAGAAAAACAATTACATACGCTATTATGTTGCTTACAAAAAACGGTACTACTCTTTTCTCTTTCATTTTTTCCTCATACTTATCGTTTACGAGGAAAACGCTGGCTAGTAAATCCGTGAACACACTATATGTATACACAAGTCAATTGATGTTTTATTATTGCTTCGATATTTTGCTATTGATTTGTTAAACATTGATATTTCCGTATATATTCTTTCTAGTTATTTTGTAATTGTAATATTGTAATTGTAACTAAAAGCACTTTATAGGTTTCTGTAATAATGTTTCGATTATTTATTATCAATATGTATAAACATATATTTGCATCGAGACTTTTTCATAATAATCGAAAGATTGATTTAGTTTTGATTGTACATCGTTCCAAACATTGTAAATACACTATATAAATAATATTACCGTGAAATTGTTATTGGAAATTACAGTGTAATATTCTGCTGTTATTTCAATAAATATCCAAATTGTTGGCTTTCGGTGGAGTGCGGTATTGTATTGAAGAATTATTGTTTCAGCGGATGGACAAATTGATATCCGCCAGTATCGATTTGGTTTGCTTAGAATATGTAAATGTTATCATTGAAGAATTATTGCTGAATTATTATACGTTATTCAATTAATTTATTGTGATATGGTTTTTTATGTTATTTCAAAAAGTAAGAAATAAAATAATGGAAAGCGATATAGAATTACTAATTTTTTAACCTTGTAAACGTAATCGAAATATCTTTTCTTTTTCATTTTATACCTTATGTTTTTTGAAAAAGTGAAATATTGACGCTATTTTGATTCACGAAGTTAAAACACAAAGTATATCGAATCAAGTATAAATAAAGTATAGAATAAAATGGGAGTAAAACATTT